TCTTAGTGCTTGGCAGGCTGCATCGGGGAGGTGATGCAGGGCATCGTGATCTGCGCGAGCGCTGCAGACGCTTTGAGAGTGGCGAGTGGCAGGCATTGTTGTCCGAGTTTCGTGCAGCATCAGAGGCGGCAGCCATGCAGGCAGAGCAGGCACGAGGCGGTGCACCATCAGATGAGGATGATGAGGCCCGTCGCATGCGGCGCTGTTTGGCCTTGTGCCGAGTGGGTGAGCTCAGTAGAGCAGCTCGTGTCCTGGATCCAGCACATATGGCCCCCGACTCGGAGGCCACATTGCAGGTCCTTAGAGATCTGCATCCTGAGGCCCCCTCGGTTCTGCCTGACTGGCTCCCTGATTTCCACCCAGATGACGCTTTCCAGTTGGATCCCGACGCAGTGCGCCGTGCTTTGGAGGGAGCCTCGCGTCTATTGGCAGGAGGGCTTTCGGGGATGATTTACGAGTTGTATCGTGATATTCTGCTCGAGCACCCCGCCACTTTCCTGCCATTCTTTGCAGTCTGCAGCCATATGGCACGTGGAGAGGTGCCCCCACGAGCTCAGGCAGCTCTCAGCTCGTGTCGTCTCCTGGCGTTAGCCAAGGCGGTCCCTGATGGTCCTGATGGCGTGCGGCCCATTGCCATTGCAGAGGTTTTCCAGCGCCTTGTCTCTCGATCCATTGCCTTGCAGATGCGAGATGCCTTTCAGCAGTTCTTTTCCCCCCTACAGTTTGCAGTTTCCACCCCTGGAGGCTGCGAGTCCATTATCGCAGGGATCAGGGCGCTGCTGGACGCAGACCCGGAGTTGCTGGTCATGCAGGTGGATCTGGCCAACGCGTTCAACGAGGTTGACCGGACGGCCATCTTTGAGGAGCTCAGGGCCCACTTCCCCGCGCTGATCCCCTTCACCCGTCTCTTCTATGCTGGTTCCAGTCGTCTGATGTATAGGCGAGAGGATCAGAGCTGGGTCACTCTTCTCTCCGAGACAGGCACACGCCAGGGGGACCCTCTTGGCATGTTCTATTTTTGACTAGCATACCAGCGAGCGCTGTCCTCCACCCATGCTGCTTTTCCTGGTGTGCATCTGCCCTCTTATGCAGATGACACACACGTTGTTGCTCGCTCCGACCAGGCTCTTGCAGCATTTCACCACCTTGTGGCACAGGTTGGGCAGCTTAACCTCCGGGTTAAGCTCCCTAAGTGCACGGCCTACTCAGTCTCACCCATCCCTCCCGGTCTTTCCATACCTCCAGACATTCGACGGCCACCAGATGGGATCCGGATCCTAGGGGCACCCATTGGCACCGCCGCTTTCTAGGACGCCTTTGTTGCGGATCGACTGGACCACTTCGCCCGCTCCCTGGACGTCCTTCCACGACTTGAGGACGCGCAGTGCGCCATGCGACTCCTCGCTTCAGTCTACGTGCAGCGGCCTTCATACCTCATGAGGACCACACCGCTGTCCCGTGCTCTCTCTCAGCGGCTTGATGCGTATGACTTGCGCATTCGATCTATAGGAGAGAGTATCATTGGAGTGACTGCGTTTGGTGGTCCTGATGGTCAGCTGGCTCGCTCGCAGATGTCATTGCCAGTTTCTTTGGGAGGCCTTGGTTTGCGCAGCACATTAGCTCATTAGAAACAGCTCCCGCCGCCTTCCTTGGTTCCTGGTGCCGCTCTGCGAGCATGGTCGTTTGTCTTCCCCTCTCTTTCGCGTGCAGTGACCACCGATGTGGATACTGGAGGGCTGCCTTTCCAGGCCGCTTTGCGCGCCGCTAGGGACGTCCTGCCCGCCTCAGCCCGACAGCTGCTACCACCCTTCCACCAGCTTGGGCTTCAGGCGGTTCCGGACGTTCAGGAGCGGCTCATGAGGGCGATTGAGATGGAAAGAGCGGAGGCTCTGAGGGAGAGCTTGGGGGATTCGGCTGGTCGGGCGCGCCTTCTTTCACAGACGGCACCTGGAGCGGGGGCATTCCTCACGGCCGTGCCTCTCATGCAGTCGCTCAGGTTTACTCACGAGTGCTTCCGGACGGCGCTGCGCACACGGCTAGGGCTTCTCCATCCGGCCATTGCGGGGGTTCGGAGGTGCGAGTGTGGGGAGGAGCTGCAGGAGGGGGTTCTAGCGGGGCAGCATCTCATGCGCTGCGGGCGGGGTGGAGAGCGGACCCTCACCCACGACGGCATCCGGGATGTCGTGTTTGTCATTCTTCGGGAGGCGGGGCTCAGTGTGAGGAGAGAGGCGAGGGGCATCTTTCCTTTGAGGGGCGATGAGACGGAGGGGAGGGTGATGGATCTAGTTGCTGCAAATCCGCGGGGGGGGCCGCGGTTGCTTGTGGACGTGACGGTGGCAGATCCACTGCAGGCGCCCGTCACGGCAGCGGCAGTCGAGAGGGGGCACGCTGCACGAGCTGCAGAGGCCGTCAAGACGGCCAAGTACTCCGACCACTCGCCTGATGACTCCCTCATTCCGGCGGCGATCGAGACCTTTGGTTGCCTTGGTGGCCAGTTCGATAGCCTCCTTTGTATGTGTGCACAGCGCGCGGCGGCCCTGAGAGTCGGTGATGAGAGC